CTGCTAGACTTGCTAGAGGTCATCTCGACCTGTTAGACTTGCTAGAGGTCACCTCGACCTGCTAGAGGCACTCACCTCTACCTACTAGAGGTCATCTAGTCTCGACCTGCTAGAGGTCATCTCACCTCTACCTTTTAGAGGTCATCTCGTCTCGACATGCTACGCCACCAACAACGTGTGCCTTGAAATTTGGAGACTTAAGTGCAGCTTCATCTTTCAATCCTCCACCAAACACAACTGATAAAAATGGATCCTACAACAATGATAGTAGTGCAACCACTTCAGCGGCACCGTCCAGTCCAATGAAAAAACCTCGCACCTAGGCGCTCTTGTTGTGCCTGCAAAACTCTGTACATACTTTTTATTAGGTCGCGCTAATGTTGTATGGTGATCTATGTTATATGCGCCGCTATGACATATCTCTTTTGAACTGTATATGTACCTCTCTGATGGATGTACATTTGAATCTGCTTTTGTGGACATTCTAGATTGTTGGACATAACTTAGAATGCCACTATATTAGAGTTGTACTAGAATGTCCTACATCTTTTTGGCCATAAAGGTTGTATTTGGATGGCGCTTTGTTGTGTCCTTTGCTTGCCCAACCTTTATTAATGGAATATAGTTGTTTTGTTTTGCTGAATGCGCACTCTCATCTTTTGATGATTGAAAAAAACGTGTCGTATATGACACAACTTACACATAACCTATGATGATTGGTGAAACAATGATTAGAAACCAATACAGTAATATCTATTTGTCCAAATTAACTTAAAAACGATTTGTTATATTTGCATCATTGATTCATAATTACAGGCTTATAATGACTTCTCTTGATTTTTAATGATTTTAAAGAAAATGTACGAACAAAAATAGTTAAAATTCACCAAATCTGTTGTTAGAACATATAGTTACCAAACAAATCGAACTGTAACAAGCATGATCCAAAAACATTTATATCATTCTAATCACAAATTATATAAGCCTAACCAAAATTTTGCATCGTTATTTGGTTAAACACGAAGTACATAGTGAAAATTAAACAACCAAGATGTTTATTTACTTTTTTTTTAAAAAAAAATTTACATCCTAATTTTTTTGTAAAAAAGCTTATCAAATTTTATGAAAGAAGTTCGGGGCTTGAAATGTAAAATAATTTATCAAACTATCACATGTTTGATATTTTTTTTTTTTTTTTTGCGGCAAAATTCAAACCTTACTCATAACGACTGTGTGCTTTTTTTTTCTGTCGCCTGTCAATGGTAAAATCAAGACAATGAAAATGATGATTTCAATGTTGGACAAACTTTCTACCCATAAAAGACCAAGGCTATATTTAGTAAAACTAACTGATAGCTGATAAGCTAACTTATAGCTTAGCAGTAATTTTCGAGCTTATAGCTTATAAATTATAACTTATTGCTGAAAAGTTAGCTTATATGATAAATTTTTTTGGTAAAATTAGTTGATAAGCTAGCTGAAATAAAAATTTCAACGAGCTTATTTGAAAAGCTACCTAAAAAAACTTATCAAATAAGCTCGAGCTTTTTAAAAAAATTCATCCTACCAAACGGAACTTATTTGAATACATGATGCTTAAATTTAACGACTGGATATAGGTCGACTGTGCGTGGTGAGCCGGTGGACCAGCTAGTATATATATAAATTAATAGATATATATATATATAATATAAGATTTACCATTTTTTAAAAATGACAAGCAACTCTTTGTCAAATTCAAACATAGTTAATTAGTTTCTATTAATGACACTTTTTTTTTCGCATTAGTTTCGAACATCATTCGCGTAGATCATTAATTAAATGCATATCATATTAGTTTGTTACAATATAAGCTAAGAAAGACAAGTCTTAATTTTTTGGATAAATTTGAAAATTTCGATATGATTTAAATTGATATGCATGAGACGGTTTTTATGATGGTTTATAGAAACAACTAATCCCTTAGTCGAAGGAATTTAGTATTCAAATGCACATTATCTATATGATTTGAACTAATCTGTTGAAACATTCTACATAATTCAAATAATAAAAAAATCCTAATGTGTTGGACGATTTTTTTTGTACTAATTAAAAAAAATACATTATTTCACTTTGGTACAAAGTTTTTTTTTTATTATTTTTTTTTCCCTGAAGATTCGGTTACACATTATTATAAGCCATCAGAATTTGAAATATATGAATCGTCGGGTCACCGGGTCACTTGCTGAACCGGATAATTAATTTCTAAATTTTTAGAATTATATATAGAGTTTTTTTGTCATATAAATAATATACATAAAAGTAAAAAATTAATTGTGTGTATAAAATTTGTACATTGAAGTGTTAATAATATGTATCTCATGATAAATATTTACCATATAAACATATATACACAGTTTATTTAAAAAAAATAAAAAAATAAAAAAAATATATATATGGGTCGGGTCAATGCCTCGGCTCGGCCGGGTCGCCGGTTTGGCTGAGTTTTGACCGAGTCCTTTGTTGCCCGGTCCAAATAGCCACCCGGACCGATTCTGGCACCGGGAAGACCCACCGGGCCGGTCCGGGTAAAAAAACTATGGTTAATATTGATTATCCTCCTCTTTAATTTATAATTATTTTTTAATATTATTTATTCGTGCATCGCACGGGATATGTACTGGTTATGACAAAAAAATGAAAAGTTACACACTTGAAAATGTATATATATATATATATATATATATATATATAT